TTTGATGAGTTGTTTAGTAGCTGGCGACCCTTTTTCCTCTTTTAATTTTCTTAGTATCTTTCTGACAGAATTGACGGCCAAATGTATGCATGGTGGGTCTGATTGTGAAATGTTTGGCAGGGCGCGGCAGGGCTCAAGGGTCATGCTCGTTAGTTAGGGCCATGATCTTGAATCTCCACCATTTACTTTATGGGGCCAACCTAAGTTAACCTTTTTCAACCTATCGTTGCCTAATCATTCATTCAAAGAAAGAAAAATCTCCCCCAGATTCAAAAAAAGAAGTGCATGTTTTGGGGCAAAGTCAATTTCGTAGTGTGGTCCAAAGATTCTCATGGGCCTAAGGAATGAATTCCTTTACTTTGTCCTTAATGGGTATTAAGGTTTTTTCCCCAGGTTCAACTCAATGGAGGCGGCGTTGGGCTTTGGCATTCAAGCCAAGGGAAGGAACAACGGAACAAAAAATAACAAAAATCATTTGATAGCATCAATAGAGCCGCATGTTGATTCTGAAATTAGTTATGGCATTACAGCTATACCCCATTAGATCACTTGTGTAGTGGGGCATTTGGTTTTCAGTCAGGTATGGGACAGAGGAAAAGGAAAAGCTCAGGGAGGTTTCAGTACTCTTAGACCTTTATTGCCATAATTAAGAGGGTTTGATCGTGGCAGAATGTGATCAGGTACAAATCCGCCATAAGTGTTTTAGCTAGCTTTTGCGAATGATAATTAAAGAGGATTAGCTTCTGTTGGGGGCATTTTAATAACTAAGAATTTGAATCTTTATATTAAAAATTACAAATTTAAATTTTGATATAAATGATGAAAAGTTTAGAAAGAAAAAATTTATCTTTGTTGTGTACCCATCATTGGAGATACCAAAAAAATAAAAGCATGGGATTTGCAAAGATGACACAACATTTGGGTAGATTGAGATGATAATGAGCAGGGTATATGCTAGTTGGAAATTGGGAATTTTACTAGCAATTTGAAGTCCATAATTAGTTGTTAAAGTCCAATTCTTTAGGAGTTTTTGGGATAATCGCTTTAATAAATTAGAATTTTTTTATTTTGTTAACAAAATCGCTCATAATTAGTCATAAAAACGTCATTTTCCACTGTTGGCCTCCCCATTGCATCACCGCGTCAAATGTGAGCATTTGCTGTAATGTCTTAATCTGTTGATCACTGTCATACTTCTTTTTAAAATAAGGATAGCATGTACCATAATTTTAAAATTGATCAATTTAATTAGATCACTGTCATAATTAATTAATAAGAAAAAGGTAAGAAAAATTGATGTAACAAAGAATCTGGCACCATCCAAAACTCCAATGCATGTGCATTGCCCTTCCCCATAAGTAATTAGATGTAATTATAATTGTTTGCATCCATTCCTTCCTTCCTTAGTACTTCACCTGCCTAAAATGAAAATTCATGCAACCTTTGCTCCTCTTCCAAGATATAAACACAACGGTCTCATTTTGTTTTTAAAAATTTCACCGCGTAATATAAAGATCTTGAGCTTAATCCTGACTTTTCAATGCTATATTTATAATCTTAAAAATTATCAATTTGGAATTAAATTCTTTATTTTTTTTGCATTGAAAAATTGAATTTTAAACTTTAATTTTAAATTAAAAATCTTAAATTAATAAGTACTAATTCAATTAAATTTTTATTAGTAAATCAAATTCTTCATAAAAGAAAAATATCATTTGACTTGAAAATTTTTTTATTATTGGAAACACATCCATAAATTTGTTTGGCTAAAAAAAAAAAAAACATTCCTAAATTTGTTTAAATCTTAAGATTTTTCTTTTCTATGAAAGTCTTAACCTAAAGTCCCAATATAACAATATTAGTAACATTTAAAATGCGTAATTCTTATCCAGACGAAAATTATTAAGGAATACTTGTGTTTTTGTTTTTATTTTTATAGATTACATTTTTTATATATTAAAAAGTTAATTGCTTGTCGGTCAAGTTTTTTTTTTTTCCTTTTTACATTACAATAATTACATAAAATTATACTTCTAGAAAGTGCTACTTTTCATTAGAAATGTCCTCTTCCTCTTTTCATTTTCTGTAGTTTATTTCTTCATAAATTAAATTACGTTTTATAAGAAATTTCTTTTGCCGACTTTTGAGATTAGCAATAAAAAAAATATATACCATGGAAGCTCCATAGCCCAATAAAATCGAATTGTGTAGTATTTTTTAAGGTACCACGTCGTAACATCGCTTAAAAATCGCAGGAAAAAAATTTATAATTAGGATACCATCCCAAAAATAATATTAGTACCATCCCAATAATTAGCCCAAAAATTTATAATACCAATAATTAGCTTAATAATTCAGCATTGCAGTTTTAGATATTAAAAACCCCTTTTTTATATGGAAAATTTATCTATTTTGTGTGCATAAACAATAATAATTGAATAATAATTATAGTATTTTAAAAAAATATATAAAATTTTAAATTAAAAAGATAATTTTTATTTTTAATTTAAAATAAGTCAATAAAAATTTAATACATAACAATTATAATTAAAATAAAAATTAATTTTATTATTTTTAAAATAAAAATAATAATTATTAATTAATAATTATTTAATCATTGCGTCGTGAATCCTAATACAAATTCCACGTAATATTTTCCAGGCGCTGTCGGCTAGTCCTCCACACGTACCCTCCCCCCAAAACTCCCGCCCGCGTGTCACCTCAGTTCTCCACAAACTCCTCGAAGCTATGCAGGAACCGCCCTTAAACGTCCCACGTGACGTGTCATAGATCTCAAAACCATGACCGAATGATCTGCTTACACGTGTCCGCGTACTCCCATAAATTCGTTCCCTTTTATATATATACATTGCCTCTCAACGCAATCCATTCTAACAGCCGAAAACGGAAACTAAAATCCAAATTCTGAAACAGTCAGAACCGATTTTTTTGTTTTGATTCTTTGATTTGTAAATTCTCTTTTCTTTTCTGTTAAATGATCCGCAAGTCGAACGGGTCGAGCCGCCGGATCTTCACGTTCCCGGCGGTGCATCCTTGCGAGTCTATTTCTCCGTCGACGCTTCTGAACTCGTTAATTGATCTCGGCCGGAGTATTTCCGGTTACAAGTCGAAGTCCTTTGCGACGAATAAAGTAAACGCGCGGGAAACATTTCGGCACGTTTCGAATCTTCTGGTTTTCCTAGAGGAGGTTCAAGACGGAGCGTCGATTCTTCCGGACGCGGTTGTCCTCAGCTTGTCCGAGCTGCATTTGACGTTCCAGAGGCTTCGGTATCTTCTGGAGGATTGCACTACCGACGGCGCTCGGGTATGGATGCTGGTGAGGTCGGATCAGGTTGCAAGTCTTTTCCGGATCCTGATTCGGGCCATCGCCACGGATCTGGATGTTTTCCCACTCGGGTTAGTCCACGTGTCGAGTGAGACCAAGGATATGGTGGATCTCATCATCAGGCAAGTCCGGAAAGCAAAATTTGAATCCGACCCGGATGATATTCGGGTGTCGATGGATCTCATGTGGGTCCTGAACCGTTTGGAGAACGGTATTGTCCCCGATTTGAATACAATAAAACAGGTCCTGGATCATCTCCGGATCAGAAAATGGAGCGACTGCAACAATGAGGTTAAATTCTTGGATTCAGAAATTGGAATTGAATGTTTCGAAGCGGAGAAGAAGAAAGAATTGGAGCTTCTGAGTAGTTTAATGGCGTTCATGAGCTATTGCAGAGGCTTTGTGTTTGATTCTGTTGATTCTGAAGAGAGGAATCAAATCAACACCAGTTCGGAAATACTCAAGGGAATCAACGTCGACGATCTCCGGTGCCCGATTTCTCTCGAGTTGATGTCTGATCCGGTGACATTATCCACCGGCCACACATACGATCGAGGTTCGATTATGAAATGGTTTCGGTCCGGGAATGCAACTTGCCCAAAGACGGGAGAGAGGCTGACAACGACGAAATTCGTCCCCAATCTCGCTATCAGGGGGATAATCCAACAGTATCGCGTTGAGAATGGCTGCGTTTTAGCTGAGTCGAGCAGGAAGAGTCGCGATATTTCCAAGACGGTTCTCGCCGGAAGTGTCGTTGCCGAGAATGCTCTGAAGATTCTGGCTGGTTTTCTCGTTAACAAGCTCGTGTATGGAAGTCTCCAGGAGATGAACAAGGCGGCGATTGAGATCCGGATCCTGACCAGAACAAGCATCTTTAACAGGTCTTGTTTGGTGGATGCTGGAACAGTGCCGAATTTACTGAACCTGTTGCTCTCGGAGGCCCAGGAAAACGCCATTGCTGCTCTGTTAAACATCTCGAAGCATTCGAAAAGCAAGGATATCATCGTGGAGAATGGAGGGCTGGATTTGATCGTCCATGTTCTTAGAAAGGGAATCAAGATTGAATCTCGACAGAATGCGGCTGCTACTCTGTTTTACATTGCTTCAATCCAGGAGTTTAGAATCCTGATCGGAGAACACCCCGGTGCTCTACGGGGATTGTTAGAGCTGGTCAGGAACGGGAATGATCGGGCGAAGAAGAATGCTCTAATTGCCATCTTTGGCCTCCTGTCCCATTCCGGAAACCATTGGAGAGTTCTGGCGGCTGGAGCTGTACCTCTACTTTTGAATCTTTTAAAAGATTCCGATCGGGAGGATCATATAACAGATTCTCTCGCTATTCTATCAACTCTGGCAGAGAACCTCGACGGAGCCGTCGCAATTCTCCGCCACGGAGCTCTGCAACAAATACTGGGGCTTTTAGAAACCTCCACTTCAAGGGAAGCTAAAGAACATTGCGTGTCCCTGTTGCTGGCTCTCTGCATTAACGGGGGTCTAGATACCGTCGGTCGTCTGTTGAAGAGCCCTTCTCTGATGGGCCCTCTGTATTCCCAGCTCAGCGATGGCACCTCCCGAGCCAGAAAAAAGGCAGGTGCTCTCATCAGGGTCCTGCATGAGTTCTGCGAGAGGAGGTCCTCAACTTCAGCAACATCTGTTCCTCCACAGGAACGGTTCGTTCATGTGTGGTAATCAAAACCCAATTTTTTTACCGGTGTTTTCTTATTTTCTCTATAAATTCGACCAAGTGTCCATGTTTAATTTGATATCTCTAGTGTGATGTTAGCTCGGTTTTTTGAAGAGCTAATAGTCCACTCTATTACTGCATTTTTTTAGGAAGCAGAGTGTGAATAAGAAAAATAGAGAAAAAAGAGTGTCATTGTATTATAAATTTTACAATACGGTTGAAACTTCTACAATTTGCTCACTTTGTTAATAATACCACTGTTCTTTTCACCTATTTTCGCTCAAAATCTTGATGCTGTTTGGTTCTCGGGCAAATGTGGTAGCTTTTTTGCTGTTAGAAGATCTCGAGTGCTTTTTCTAGTCTTAGTACTACCTGTTCCATGGACGGCCTTTCTTGCTTGCGCCCTGTGCAGGACAAAGCTAGGTCGAGTACGAGGTCAAATGCTTCTTTCGAATAGTCTCCATTAAGCTTAGGATCTGCAAATTCTGTTGTGTCACCTTCTTTGCTGAGGTTTCTTACCTGAGAAATAAAAATGCTTTAGGGACTCGAGATTTGTTTAGGAAATTTGATTTCAAGGTAATTAGTTTTCTCACCATTTTACTTATGGGTAATAGTTTGTTTAGGTTCATATCAAGCACCCTCTGCCCTGACAGGAGCTGTAGGAGTACAATCCCGAAACTGTAAACATCTCCAGAAGCATTTACCCTACGGTTTCTCTTGTACTCAGGATCAACATAACCAAATGTTCCTCTGACCTCGGGGCTCACATAGGATTGACCCATGTCCATAACCTTAGACAATCCAAAGTCTGAGAGTTTTGCTTGAAAGTCAGCATTGATTAGAATATTTGTTGGCTGCCAAAACACCATCAAACAGCAACTGAGAATGATGATGAATGGAATATAGGAAAGTTTCTAGTGTCATGTTGTGAACATATATATACATACCTTAACGTCGCGATGAACAATACAGCCTTCGGGGTAAGTATGGAGAAACCAGAGGCTTCTTGCGCTGTCAATTGCAATCTCAAGTAATTGGATTCAGGATAGAACTTTACCTGCTCAACTTTGTGAGATTGGTTTATTTCATGAACTAGAAATAATTTGAAGAAAATTTTCGGTTGCTAATGTAAGTAAATACCATATAGCCATTCCAAAAGGTTGCCATTGTCGCAGAGCTCATAAACCAGGAAACATTCATCTTCATTTTCACAATATCCGAGTAAAGCTACAAGGTTTGGATGTCTGATATGTGATAAGCTTCTGACTTCTCGGACAAATGTATCTATTTCCCCATCATTGATTATGTGCTTAACTGCAACACGGTGTCCATTTGAGAGTAAGCCTCTATAAACCTTTCCTTGTTTCATAACATGAAGAAATCAGGAAAAGATGGTTGCTGAACTGAATCACTCTCCAATAATTGTTAGATGTCTGATAATAAACTCAAGATGAATGAATTCTCACCTGCTATGCCCTGGCCAATGAAGTTAGATGGATTGAGATTGTTTTTTGCCATATAAACTTCCTTAACTGAAATCTTCAGACTGCTGGTGCTGGAGTCTTTAGAAAATTAGTCATTTGATGTTGTCAAGTTGAGCAAAGGAAAAGCATCAACAATTTGTATCATAGTTAACCTGTTTTGAGTGTTGGTCACAAATTGTTCGTATGAAAATACCATATTTTTCAGCTTCAGGAAGACTTTCTTCTTTCCTTTTCCTGAACAGAAATCATGTTGCAATGATTACCATCACTAGAATTCCGATTATCCCACCAATTAGAAGCCATAAACCTGTTATGAATCTTATGCTCAAGAAAACTCACAACAGAATGAAGGGAAAAGAACAACTGGTTAGGATCTATACAACACCTAGAATTCAGACAGAGTCTAATGATATTACCTGTTCTTGTTGCCATTTTGTCAGTACCTGTGTTTGTATTTGTATCATTTATAGTTCTTCTGCAGGGTAAAAGAAGAAGAAATTATCTAGAAATGTCAAAGAATCATATAATCAGTCAACCAAACTCTACCTCACCTATTTGAAAACCATTTTCTCAGATACATTTGGATAGGTCATGGATCCAATTCTCATCATCAATCCTCTTACCTATCACAGATACTAAAACTGCAAACCGACAGACATCATCTTCAACCTCTGTTGATCCTCCAATCTCTTCCCACCTTCTCAGACAGGCACTGCAAGACTGGTCCTGTCTGCTACCGGAGCCTAAATTCTTACAGTCCTTGTGTAAGTTCCCAAATCCATCTCCAAGCCTGTTGACAACATCTGAAACAGTGTAGTTAGAGCAGCCGCCTGGTCCACTGGTTAACCTCTCAATGCCACAGCCTGAAACATTTCTCATCAATGTCAACCAGTTTTCTTGCTCAGTCAAATTCAAGTATGCCTCCAGTAAGATTGGCCTGCCGCCCCAATGCATAGAGGTACTCATCAAAAGCTCCTCCACAACATGATTTCTCATTGATAAATCCGACCCACTTGTATATTCCACAGTTGAATTTGTTTCTGAAGGTGGAATTTCTAATATCAAGAACGCAATCAGTAGACAAAGTCTGAGAAAATACCAAATCTTTGGTGAGTAAGAAAACAAGGGCACAGATTATAAAAGAAGATGTTGCATATCCCATATGACCTCGAAAAATCATGAACCAAGATCTCAACAACTAAACTATCTTATGAACAGAATGAATCTTTGTGTTTCTATCCCAAAAAAGGTTGTCTGAAGGAATTATTATAGAATCTGGCGGAGATAGAAATAAGATGAGACATTTACGTTGTAAAAGATGAGCTGTTGCAAAAGAAAGAATAAGCTGTAGCATAATGTTTGAATTTCAGAAATCTAATGTACAATAATGTAATATAGGTATTAAAATGAAACTGAAGGAGTCAAGGAGACATTTTTGGAATCACCTCAACTCTAGATGTGCACTAGGCAAATGGCTACAAAGTCGAAGTTATGGGTGTTAAAATAAAGTTGAGAGATCTTCCCAAATTAAGCTTATTTCAATATTTAATATTTTCATTAAAAAAAGGGGGCGATTGCCGGATTTGTAATGCCAAAAAAAAGCCAAGTAATTGTCCAATTATAGTAGGTTGGAGAGAACATATTGAATAAACATAGACAATTTTAAATTCTGAAAGTTGAATCTATCGGTAAGTAAGTGTTGTATTATAAATCAAGTTTAAAATTCAAATATTTAAGTCAATATTTAAAAAAATAAAATTTTTAACTACATTAAATCAATACCAAAAATGTATTTTTAAAATTATCTCTTAAACAAATTTAATTTGAGGACACCCCTAATAGTTGAATATTTCCAAAAAAAAAAAAACAATTTTATTATTAGATTTTGATATCATTTGTTACAACTCTAACTTTACACATCTTAGAAAAATCTTGAATATCAAACACGGGTGGGATTAGAAGCTGATGAACAACTCAAGGAGAGAAGAAAAGCTTGGAATTTTAGTCAGTGCAGGTTATTACTCAGATTGCTGTTGAATTGCCGCTGGCTACCTGGAGGGAGATGGAAAGGTAACACAAGGAGTTGGATTATACTTTCATATTTGGGCCCAAATGCTCCGTCTAAAGCTGGTACTTTGACCTATCATATTTGTCTCTTTATGCTTTACACGTGCCTAAAGATGTGATTTAGTTATTTTTTATT